TGGTTGTAAACTGGATCAAATGAGCTGGCCTTCAATGCCACAGTGATGAAACAGACCAGGTGGAACGTCGGTGAGCTGAGAGCGAAGCATTCATGCACTGACGCTCATATTGCTATCACTTTGTAAGTCTGCCTCTCTCTCTGCATCTTTTATTGCAGAGAGGGGAGTGGAAACCACCACAGAGGCAGTTGTGAATACTCGGGAATTGTTCTCTGTCTCTGGATAGATTTAGTCTTTTTCTGTATGATTTCCTGTCCTTGTTTCCTTTATAAGGATGTCAGCCAAAGTGATTCCCCACACTTACTCAGCAGTGTCAGGATTTGTTCCAGTCAATCACTACTTCCTCACAGAAAAATGACAAAATATTCAATGAATGTTTAGACCGTCTGAGCTATGTTTCCACCACATTGCAAACAATCTCTATAAACAAATGTTGACGCATCAATTGCAGAATTTTTACGCAATGAAGGAAACTTTTGTTACTATAATGACTCATCGTGCTGTAGCAGGTTTTGGCTGCATGCAAAAAAATCACAGTGGAGAGCAACAGAATCCTTTTACTGAAGTCCAACCTTAAAACCATCAGACATTTCCTGCACTTTAGCTTTTACTAAGCTTTTGTTTGGAACATCGACATTTGTGAACGCTGACCAATGGAAGTCTTGGCCTGGATACTCACTGGCTACGCTGCAAGACCCCCAAAAAGATTTCTACCTTGAGCCAAGGAGGTTATGTTTTTGGTAGCTTTTGTATGCGTGTGCGTCATTTTGTCATGCTTGAAGTTTTAAATGAACTCTGATCAAATTTTGTAGGCGTGTAGAGCAGGGTCATGTTAATATTCCATTAAAACTTTGCTTTATCCACCAAAGTCTTCAAGGTTAAACTTGTGATTAATTGGTCGAAGCTCTAATCTTATAACTTACAAAAGACTATTCTTCTATTGTCAACATAGAAAGTGATGTATAAAGAATTAAAATATATTATCACATATATATTTAAATATAGCTCAATTTTTCCACCTTAACGTGGACAAAACTTTATATTTTATCTTCACAACCATTTTACGAGTTAGTGATCTGATGGCTCAACGTGTCCTTAATCTAAATGAAGAAGAAACTATTATTTCAGCTACAGGGTAACAGGCCAAACGACAGAATGTCACACCTCATTGTACATTCTGCTAATACCACCATGTGGGGTTAAGTATCTGATGGTGATCTTTGTTAGGAAATTAAATTCTGAACACCTCATTCAGGGCGCCGCTTTTCTTACTTAATTAAAAATGTTATTATAAGAAAAACGAACAAAAAGACATTAATACAATTAGTACAATGCACTGTTCAAAGTTCAAAGCTATCAGGAAGCAATTAAATGTCTCTTTCACACTTTAATAAACTAATATATTTTTATATATAGATAAAGTATATAGATAAATTGGTCAAAGTTCTGCAAACACAACTTTTACATTTTCAAGATAGATGAGAGTTTCTCACAGGGATATATCATCTTCTAATTAAAGTTGTAACGGGATTCTATTTCACATTAGACCTTGAGCATCCAAACATCACAGACATATTTGGAAAAATTAAAGGTGGAGTGAAAGCATTTCATCTCCCAATCTGAGCATTTAGGAATAAATATTTTAAATAAGTAAGTAAGAGGGTTAATAATTAATGGAATGGACCCTCTGAGTTAGTATGTCTGTTCTGGTGATGACAGTTATGTTACAGGTGTTCAATGTTGAATTGCACCTTAACTTGTCATTCATTAGCACATCTGTCTGCCTTATGGTGGCCTCATCGATCACTTCTTTAACTGCAGTGGAAGTCGATCAACTATGCAGGATGTGAGAGATGTCGAGGAAAAAAGTCTTACTTTTCTATAAATGTTAACATCAATGCCAAAGTCATGTCTTAATGAAATCATAGTGGTTGATATCAATGAGGGTCAGAAAGAGCACAGATAAGTGTGATAAAGGAAGCTCATATGTCAGTTGATTTTACTCTTTATTTTTTGCTTTGTGTTTTTGAGTGTATGAAAGATTACATTGAACCATTTGGATGAAAAACAATCTACAAAGGTAGGATTTACAGAACGGTTATTTTTTAGAATATGCTTGGCAGTCTCTTATTTAATAATTGAAAACTATTAACAGAAATTAACAGAAAGGTTTTTTTTGCAACTTTGATCTTTTTTGGTGGTAGAGATGCATTACTGCTCACTTTCTCTCTCTCCAGGTGTTTTTCACTTTACGTGTAAAAGAACAAATATTTTTTGAAAAGCTCTGCTGTGATGTAAAAGCGCACCTCCCTGAATTCCCAGTGCCTCCCGTTGTGCAGCTACTCAGTCAGAATTACAGAGTAACTGCTTCATCTATTTACAGCACTGCTGCACAAAGTTGAACATTTTTAAAGAAGCCGTCAATAATTTTGTAACGCGCCATGAAGTACTGCGGTCTTGTTTCACGGCGTAAACAGCATGAGCAAATTTGCGGTCGATAGCACGGAGCAGGTGGAATGAAAAGTTAGAGATGAGCATCTTGTTGCCTGCAGCTCTTCACAGGCAGCTCAGCGTTGCTGCTTCTTGTTATTTTATAAAACTTTTAAAACAAATCCACAGATTACATACAGAAAAAAATGATAAAAATACAGAAAATAAAGGCAAATATTTGACAAGTGATGAGTTGTAACTACACATACAGTACAGTGTACTTTAAGTACTTTGGAAATCATGAAGACAGTAGATTTTGCCACTGAGTATGTCACACATGTAGTCACTTTGAAGGACACTATGAGCTACATGCAGCTTCCTTGATCTTGCGCTGTCATCTTGTTTATGCCGGTACCTTTGTCATGTGCAGGGCTTTTCTGCTCCGGTGAGGCAGGATTGCACTGATGATGGATGCCCACTTCAAACAGCCCCTGGACACCCTCCTCGCTTCCTGAGCTGGAGGGACGAAACCCTCTGTAACCCGCCTGTCTGGGCAACTCCTCCGAACTGCGGGAGTCACTGCTGCCCCTCTGAAAGAAAGATGAAGAAAATAAGAGCAGAATTTGAAAGGAGAAGATTGACTGAAAGTGGAGAGGGGGAAAAATTACCTAGAAAGAACAAATATCCAGGTGCACTGATGTTCACTGAAGCAAGAGAGACACCAAACTGAGGAGTTTCATTTCACCTTATCATAATGGAAATCTGAGTAGCATTTGTTTTTCAGTTTCAAAAAGCTCCCTTTTCATGTCCCATCTATACGAGTCTGATTAAAATTGGAGGTGGTAAAAAGAAAGTAACGGCAGGCTTCAAAGCTTCAAATTGCTTGGCTGTTGTTGTTGGTTGTAAACTGGATCAAATGAGCTGGCCTTCAATGCCACAGTGATGAAACAGACCAGGTGGAACGTCGGTGAGCTGAGAGCGAAGCATTCATGTGATGATGGAGATATAAAAGACATGCTCACGAACCCACACACACACAGGAAAACATACGTACAAACTCCCATGTGCCCATGTCAAAAGCACAGTGGGAGGCATGTGTTTTAATAAGGTAGTAAAGAATGTAAATAGTCATTAATAATGATTAGCAAGACCTAAGGGCTATGATGACATGATTTTACCTGTGTGTGTGTAGGCATGAGTGATTAGAGCTAATGTTCATTTCTGTCCCACTTATCAGGGTTAATTTCATGGTTGGCCAAGGCTGTTTCAGTTAGAGGTATTTAAAGTTGTTCAAATATTCAAATGTGGAGAGGATGCAAGTAAGCATAGTTGGCTTACTAATTCTGACAAAGTGGATACAACTATTGATGTTTAAAGCATGGCAGTGGGTTTCCCTGGTGTGCTTCTTTGATAGAATTCTTCAAAACGTGTCAAAGTTTTTTAAAAAAGCTCAAACTACATGTGATGCATCAGTGCTTCGTCAGGACAAGCAGAACAGGCAGTGCTTGCCCAGTCAAATCTCAACACAGACATCAATTAAAAAGTATCAAAGTGAAAGCAACCTCTCTCCTTTCATCTCAAACAGTGTTCTGTCATAAAACGTCTTGCCTGTTTTCCTCCATCCTTTACATTACAACTTCCAGTGATGGGAAACTGATGGCAGCTGCTGCTCGCTCTGCTTTCTCTGCTTGGAGATGGCTTTATGTGGAAAACAGAGCTAGCATCAGCAAATAGATGTTTTTTCTTACTGATTGCCTTGGCCAAGAAAAATATTTTAAATAACTCCTTTAGCACCATAACAAGGATAAACTTGAAGATAGAAAAGAGACATGAAATAAACGTCGACATATCAAAACAGACGAGTTGAACATGTGCAGGCTCAGCTATCACTTTTAGATTAGCAAGAAAATACTAGTAACTTTAAACAGCCAACACACTTAATATTTCTAATCCTCTGTACACATTGATAGATAAATATGTCACACAGTGCTCACACCTTTTAACTTTTTTTGCTATGAATATTTTTTAATATGCTTCTTTTGAAAATCAAGATGTAGGCTTGCTTTTCTGAGAAAAAAAGATATGTGTTCCTCACAGGACGCAGACTATAAATGTGATTTTTTAGAATATAATGCATTACTCTAGATTAAACTGAGCATACAGTTTGAAATGAGCTCACCAGTACTGTTAATCCCAAAAATATGTAAAGGGAACCGTCTCAGCTTGACTTTCTGTAAGAGTCACCACACTACTGGTGTGCTTGTGTATCACTTGTGTATCATGTGTATAATACAAGTGGGAGAGATGCGAGCAAGCACAGAATAAGTTCATATGTGTTGGTGTGTAAGTGTGAGAATACCTGGCTGTCTCTGACCAGCAGCTGGTAGCTGCTGTTTTCATCCAAACTCAGGTCATCAGGCAGAGCTGGAGATGACGACTTGTCGGACAGCTGCTCTGACATCAGCGATGCCTGCTCCACCTCTGCCAGTCGCACCTGTACCACAAATACACAGTAGCCAATCATGTTGAAGCTGAAATTTGACAACAGGATGTGAAATGATGAAGCCGAAAGCCAGCAGCAACTTCAGGGACTGAAATGATACCACACCTGGTTCCAAACCCCCCCGTAATTCCTCAACTGACATGATGTTGTCCCTGTAGACTCCTATAATGTTTAGATTAAATATTTTTTCCTTTTTTTGTTGTTGTTGTGTTGCCCCCCCGTACGTACAGGCTTTGGAAATTCTAGCATTGCTAACATTAGCTTGTAGCATTCCATGGTAGTCGAAACATACTTGCCAACCTTGAGACATCAGAATTAGGGAGACATTCAAAAGGGGGGGTAAGGTAGGTATACATATACAAAAAACTTGAATTTTACAGTGTTTATTTATTTAAAATTATTTATTTAAAGTAAGTTAAATGTCACCGTTATTACTGTCCCCCAGCTGGGGCTGTCCAAATTCAGAGGCTGCATCCACCTGAGGACCCATCCTTCGTGGTATAAGTGGGCCGGGTCCTCCGAAAGCCGGGTAGGCCGGTAGTGAGCGACTGTGATGGTCTAGCCTTCAGA